AAAACTCTATAAATTTCCCGTCATCTTTGTTTTGTTTTGCCCCTTGCAGGATTTCCGCCGTATAGGATGAAGTGACACTAGAGATAAACGTTTGCACATGCTTGTATTTCAGCACGTTTTCTAAGAACTTTGAAGAGTTTGAGTGAGAAAATGAATGTTTGTTTTCTCCAAGTATACAAAAAAGTTCGAGAGTATACTTTTGTCAACCAAGATACTGAATTAACAAACACAGTATGAAAGAATTAGCCTTAAGTTTCAAGTTTTGGCATTTTGTGAAGTCCAATTTATCAGGCATGTTTGAAAGTCAAATTTACATATTCTTTTAATTTGAATACAATCTTGTACCCAGAGCCCTTATTTCTTACTGCGCATGCTCGACGAAATAATTGGGCTCTGGAAAACTCCAAACCGGAAGACCCAGATTCTGGGTTTCTCGCACATGCGCATTATGACAGACTAGATAAATTCAAAATGGCGGACGATGTTCAACGAGCATGTGAATTTGCGCTTGGAAAATTAGGTTTTGAAGATGGTTTTCAGTTAAATTAACTCCGAAAATATCTATTGGATGGACATCAATACAATTTCCATTACAAAACCGGCACAACTTTGAAAAATCCGGCCCTACAGGCTTTTTTGTTGTACTTAATTCGAGACGCCATCTTGTTACCTAGTACTGTAATTTTTACTTCCGGTATCTTCCTTTGTTCTCGAGAACCAATCACAGCACAGGAAATATTGGAGTTTTCCAGAGCCCAATTATTTCGTCAAGCATGCGCAGTAAGAGATAAGGGCTCTGGGTACGAGATTGATTTGAATACGGATTCAGAGCATGCGCAGACGTTTTTCACTCGTGTCGGATGAAGTAGTCCATCGTAGAGGATGCTATCTATACATTATATTGCCAATTCTTTTTCATGATAGGATTGGTGGAACGCTCCTTCGTATGCCAACTGGTACAGAACTTGGAACGTGGTGGTRCATGATTGGCTGTTCAACTATATATACAAAGACATATTACTTGTAAGTATAGCCTTTTTACCTTGGGTGAAATGCTTTCCCATTTTAGACCATGTGTCATTTTCTTAGCAATAGACCGCTTGCAGCACGTCGGAATGCAGCTCGATTTGGATGACAAAACAAAAGAATTTCAAGCTCCTGATAATTGGAAACCTTTTGTTGCGTCCTCAAAATTGAGCTACATTCCGACGTGCTGCAAGGGGTCTATAAGATTCTTTGTGTGAGTTTTGTGTCTTCTCATGCACAACCGTTGAAAAATTGATATTCATGACACGTTGGCTCCGTTGTTTGAGCGTCGGTCTTTTGTGCGGGAGGTCGCGGTTCGAGTCCCGGCCGGATCATCACTCAGGGATCTTAAAATAACTGAGGAGAAAGTGCTGCCTTTGTAATTACATCTGCAAATGGTTAGACTTTCAAGTGGCTCGGATGACCGTCTCTCCAAACTTCATCATTACAAACCAATATCAGAGGGACGTAAAAGAACCACTGAGGATGTAAAGAAACCCTGGCAGTGACCATCCTCAGTGCCTGGCCTTTAACTAATGATTTCTTAATGGATTGATTGTGGATTGGTATGGGGATTTTATGAGGTCGGAAATCGGTGCAATGTACCTTCGAAGGGAACGCATTGCCCCATTCTGCGGCATCACCCTTCGGGTCAAATCTCATAATTAAATGATAGCATTGTCTAAAATGATAAAAGCTTATGGCCAAGCTTAGAACTATTCCATCAAACTAACTCTGTTGGATTACTTTAGAAGATCATTCTTAATGGTGTGTTGTTTTGTGTTTCAGTTCACAGCAAACCGTAATCTTGCCACCACTATCGTGTTTCTATCGTCGGCCTTGGTCCACGAATATGTTCTGTTCGTATCGTTTCGRTTCTTCTTCCCAATTCTTTTTGCAATGTTCGGTGGAATCGGACGTGAGTGGAATTATGTTTGACAGTGAAATTTATGTTCATTTCATCCTTCCCATCCCTCCCTC